CCGCCGGTGGGCTCCTGCCACTAATGACCCCTTTTCGGCCGTCGTAATTGTTGGTGAGCCAGCATGTTTGTCGGCCTCCCCCTCGTCACTCAACGGACTGATCAGTTGTTGGGGCTCATGTGAGTTGATCTCAGCCTCGTGGAAACGAGAGGGTTTGAGAAACGTCAGTACAAATATAACTCGGTCCATGAATTCGCCCCATCTTCTTCTTCTTCGTCTTCTTCGGGGGATGATGAACGCGACACAATATCTGGACCTCGAATCTTTACCCATATCAATATAGATATGCATATTTAACTGTAGCGTTGTATAGGTAAATTTCGTTTTCTGATTCAACTCTCAATGGGAGATATTCCCGAGGCAGTTGCACACGTGAAGCCGAAGTCGCACGCAACGACGTACTTTCACTTGATTATTTCTAAATGACGACATGAGGGATTCGGTGTAGGTAAGGCAGTCGACCGCAGTAAGCCCGTTGTCATTTAGGATACAGAGGGTGGATACATTTTGCGGTAAGAGACTTTTGACCAGTACACCAGCCCTAGAGGCGCACGTCTTCCAAACGAAAGTTTAGGTCTCAGCGATCGCACATCAACAGCGGCTGAAGATTCCTGCAGAGACCTTGAAAGAACGAAGACGTAGTGGGCATAGTGAAGATCTGAGGCAGTGAGGTTGTGCCCTCATTTCTTGTTCTTAGTGGCACAAATGTCTCGAGAGCCGCGTCTGTCATATGGGTAAGATAGACCGATGAGAAACACAGACAGTATACCAGCTTTGGCAACAAAATACTCGCCGTCTCTAATTTATTTCTTGAGCTATGCGCATGACAGCGGGAAAGATGTCCCAAGCAAATTCAAGCACTTCAGGAGCATCCCATCACCCTTATGGGTGTGTTAAAGAGTATTTCTGTTATGTCCAGAAGGGGAGATGATGGAGGAGGAAGGCGAGTACTGAGAACAACCACTTTATTCTATCGGCCGGCGTAACACGATTTTCAACTTGTTAAAGCTCGCCTTATTCAGTTGACCGCAGAGGCTTCCAGAACATTCTGGCCTATTGTGCGCAGCTCGGTGTTGGCCGTTTCTTGCACGGGAATGTTCTCGCAACAGTATTTCGAATGTTCGACCAGCCACTGATTGGTCCGCACGCGTGAGAAAAGGCATCACGTGTGCTCGATGATGCATCACACGTCGATTGGCTAGAGGATTTTCTGCGTGCATATAGCGGCCGGCTTGAGCCCTGCTGTGCCGTGAGAAATCACGTCTTCCTATCGCCGCAGGCCGTGACAGCACTCGGTTTTCGCTCTGTGTAACAACTTAAATCAGTCAAGTCGATCTGAGGGCGGCTAATCCCCAGTTTGAATTCTCTGCGCATATAATTCTCTCCGCTGATCAGACAATAAGCAAGTCAGATGGTGGGATGTTCGGCGGGGGATAAAAGACGAGAAAAGCCCCGCGGCGGTAACTTCTAAAGGGGTTTCCGTTCCTATATATCTCTCTCGAAGAGCAGAAACCATACAGGACGATGACGATACTGGTGTTCGCAATGATAGTTGCTCCACCAAGGCCTTCGAAATTGCCACTTTCTGACTGACTGGAGAAAGCTGGAAGGACGGCATTGCTGTGCGGCAAATCCTTTGGAGCTACAGTAACATTATAAAACTCTATTCGCTACAGCCCATACCTGATAAGTAAGTCGGGACCTTACTGCTCCGGAGACATTGGAATACTGTTAGATTTTTGCAGGCGCGTCATAGACAGAGATATAGAAGTTTCTCCTGGGACAGCCAGATTTGGCGGGCTGGTCAGGTCGGAAAAATGAGCTTGGCAGCCCGACAACCGTTCTTTCAGGGAGGCAGTCTTAAGACCAGTCTTCACTGACCGCCTGACTACTGAATTGTCTTCGAACGACAAGAGATCGAGCGGATGCAGCTCTCGGCGTTCGCCACCCAGCTCCAAGCGGTCGTTTTGGTCGGCCACTTCCATGTCCCGGTGAAAGAGCCACAATTGCCTGAGTTTCGAAGCGATTTCCGTATGTGAAGAAGAAGAAGAAGAAGAGGGTTTGAACACCGGAACACTTTGTTTATTGTCCTGAGCCTTCGGAATCGTGCAGGAGTCAATCGTCGGAGATAATAGCAGCAACAGAACAAGCGACAGTTATAGGGCATTCAGGCCAATCATCGACCGGCGGCGCAAGACTGG